AGAAGCCAGCTTGTAGTTTACCTCCATTTCCTCCCTCCTAGCTACAGAGCTGGAGCTCTTACCCTGCTGTCCTGGCTCCAGCACATCCCAGACACTGCTGGGACTCTGCCTTCAGCTTTCCACCCAACCCTCAGAAAGGAGGCTTCTGCTCAAAGCTGTGTGTGTGCCTTTACCAAGGCAGTGGCCGTGGCACAGAAGTGCCCAGGTGAGAGCCAGCCCTTCCTCTCTGAGCTCTGCTCTGTGCCCCCCACCCCAGTCAGGCTTCCCAGCACTGACCTTGACCTTCTGTTGGTGATGGTAGATCTGCCAGGCGATGTGAACGTGCATGGCACACCACTTGCCAGGTTTCTGGAAAAACAAGACATGAATCAGTAACTTTCAAAAACCTAAGATGCTTTATTCTATTTCTAGAAGAAAACAGACCCTGAGCCCTGTCTGGTTTGGTCTGGGGGATCCCCACACCAAAACAACTGAAAGCAAAGGGTTCCCTCTCCACCCTCCTGCAAAACCAGAACTGGAAAGACTTGTCCCTTGCTAGGGAATTTATCTGGCTACCCAGGAATCTCCAGCTGGACACACTCCTGTAATCCTCTGTTGCCACTGGCTGAGAGTGCAGCTTGTGCTGCTGAAAGCTGTGAGCTGTGTCCCTGAGAGCACTGCCCTGCACAGCTGGGCTGTTCACAGCTGCACACTCAGGTCATTTCCACAATTGGCAGTTCCACCAAAAGATGAAAATGGAAGTGGTTTAAAAGGTCATTCTGGTTTTCAAAATTCATCTGACTCCCTCATGTAATTGCTGGTCTGTCCCCCCAAGGTTTCAGCTCATAATTGTGCTGAAAACAATGGAGGTCACTCAATTCACCCTGTTTGGGGGGGTCTTTGCATCCTCCCTGTCCCCCCAAGTCACAGGGAGGAGAGAGGGAGGCAGGAACCAGAGTGCTTGTTAGCCCTCCTGTTGAGTTTGTACTCCATTTCCAGCACAGCTGGAAACTGTCTCAAAAAGACTCATTTGAGAGATACTTTCTTCAATTTTGTTACTTAGGGGTCTGCAGTTACCTACACAAGTAATGACTCCTGTAGAGTCAAAAATTATCACAGGAATTCAAGAGTCACCTTAAGCTACTTGTGAATTAAATGTTTCAGAAACTATGGTCTGTCTTCTAGCTCTAGCTGGGTATCAACCAATAATTAAATCATTAAAAAAAACCAAACTCTGTCTCACAGACATACTACCCTAAAGTCAAGCCTTTTGCTAATTTGCAAAAACTTTGCTAGTGATTTAGTAAGTTCACTAAAGCAAAATCTAGACCTTTTTCTTGAATGTGCTGACAAATTAACAAAAACCCCTTTTGGATGAGTGGTGAACTGGATCTTTAGATACTTATTTTTAAAATATTTTGTGTTTGAAGGGGATTGTCTATCTACAGTGGACAGTGAGATACCTGGGGGGAACATATCAAACTGAGTAACACAGAAAACACATAGTAAAATCATAAAGCAAACTCCTTCAGAGTGCAGAGAAATAACAGGGAATCACTGCCAGGATCTCTAGGATTTGCCTCAGAAAACCATGATGGAAGGATCAGCAATATTTAAGCTCAAGTATTCACGTGAGGGGTTGCATGAGAAGAGCAAAACTTCCAGCTGTGAAACTCTGCCTTGTCCTTGAGTGATCAGGAGCTGCAGGAGTGCCTGTGCTCTCCCCAAAACAGGGCAGAAGTGCCCAGGTGACACTTGGCAGCTCTCATTTGGAATTACTCTGTGCTGCAACCTGGTGGGACTGAGCCAAGCTTGACAAACAGGAGCACAGGAAGATTTCTTACCCTCAACATGGGCCTGAACGGATCTGTCAACTGTGAAGAAGAAATGACAGCTTGGTTACACGCCTGTCACTCAAACAATTGCTCTAATTAACAAATCTGTATTGCTTCATTAAGAGACTAAATTAAAATGTTAGAATTTTACTTTCAAATGAAGCCCTTTTGGATAATAATTAGTCCTGAGCCTCCATCTCTGTGCTGTCCCCTCCCCCTGGCTGTGGCACCTGAGTGGTGATGGCAGCTCCAGCAGGCTCACACAGAGCTCTGGCCCCTGGCAGCAGCAGCAATTTGTTGATTTAATGCTGCAGAAATGGCTGGTTAACTGCACTGATGGAGGCACAGATCTGTCCTTTGGGCAAACTCCTGCTCTCATCTTTCAGAGCTCCTCAGTTCATGGCAAGGCTGGATAAGGGACAGGGCTCAATCCCACCGAGGGGCTGGGATGGGGTGTGAGCCATGCCCTGCACACCAGCATTGTGCCACCCACCAGCCAAGGTCATGGCCTTGTGCCTCACTGCTGCCTGAGCTGCTCTCTGCCATAAATGGGCTTTGCCTTAATTATTAGCACACTGAAACAGTTGGTAAACAGGGCCCATATAAAAACCCAATTTTCTCATTTTTTATTTTTGATGTGGCCTGTTAGGGGTTTTTTTTTGGAGTAGATTATTTTCTTATTCCCCTTTTTTTGCTCATATTTCATCAATAAATGCTGGGAAATAATTCAATTTATTGGGTACTGCTCATTTGTTTTGGATTTTCTGTTTTGAAATGCAATACTAAGGGAGATTTATAGGTGCAGAAGGTACTTAGCAGACGCAGTGATGGCACAATGCATCATCTTGAAATAATCGAAACTCACTCCCAGTTGAAAGGGAACATAAAGCTAAATGACTTCCTGATGGGAGGTTCTGGTTGTCTCTGCACTTAGACAAACAAACAGAAATGTGGTTCCTCTTGGTGTAAAGCTCAGCCTCAGCTCCACTGCTCAGCAACCCAAGGTGCTGGAACTCAGCCCAACACAAAGACAGCAGCTCTGGAGGTTCAGCCGTGCCCCAACTCAGAATTTTAGGGAGAGCTCCTCAGTGCTTTTGTCTGAGAGTTCTGCTAAAAATATTTGAGTGTGAAGTTCCTCATGGAAATAATGGCCATCAATTCAAACACACCAACAACCCTTGGGCAGAGGGACAAAGTGCTGAGGCAATAAATGCTGCTCACATCCTCTGGAACTCAGAAATCCAGAGGCACCAAGTGATCAATAAAGTGCATCCGTATTTCACTGGGGCAATCAATGCTACAGTAACCCAGGGAATAGCTGTCATTACCCACATTAAAAACAATTACAGAGTGCAAACACAAATCTTGGGGAGGTTTGTACATTTTCTACACTGAGCTGGACTTTTATGCCTTTACCCCTGAGTCTGGGATGAGAGCTGCCAGCAAGGACAGAGCTCTGCCATTGCACAGGGGTGTTTTAAACAGAATTTCTGCAGCCCTCCCTGATGAAACAGCTCAGACAGCTTTGGTTTAAAGGGTGTTAATTTGGACTTTCTCAAGATGGCAGCTCTAGCATTCAAAGTTTCCAAGAGGAACAGATTTACTTGAGAAAAAGAAAACAGTTTTTACAGACCCGTGGATCCTTCTGTAGAAGGGTATGTGGGACCGTTCCAGGTCTGGCTGCAACATCAATAGGATTGGAAGTCTGGAAATTCCACAAGGAGAGACAACATTAATGAGCTGCACCCCAGTAACAATGCCTACAAGCAACAGAATGTGCAAAACAATAGTTCTTTATCATTACATTGTCTAAACAATGGAGATAAACTTTTTATAAAGGAAAGGAGAACCATTATAATCCACTCAGTAATATGAGTGTTATCATCTCCATATCCACACTTTGATTATCCACCAACTTCCCATTAGTTTAATCAAAACCACTGAGGGAACAGTGACTGTTTAAACTGGAAAATCTTCTAATATGAAAAACCTGATTAGGAACACATTTTTGACACAGCATCAAAAGCAGCATGTGGAGGACCCAGCCCTGCTCTGCTGATTATCAGGGATGCACTCAGCACACAGAGCAACACTGCACCAGGACCTCCACTCCATCCACAGGGACTGCCACAATATGGGCATCAGGAAAACATCCACTTGGAAAAAATTAAAGCCCTTCCCATTATTTGAATGTTAATAGTCAGTTAATAAAATGCAGTTTTGTGAGGGGGAAAAAACCAAAAAAAAAAAAAAAAAAAAACCAACAACAAAAAAAAAAACAACCCAACCCCCCTACATTTAGACAGAGCTTGTTCCTATGTCAAAATGAAGAAAATAGAAATCAGCTCCAGCATAACTGACAATTAAGTAAGAGAGTTGTTAACAGTCTGATTACCATACAGACAAGAATCTCACTAATGAACTCCAATTTACATATTCAGTCATTAGAGTGGATGGGCCAATTTAAGGAAGAAGGTGTCTCCCATGCAGAAATTCCACTCCTGATTTCAGTCTAGCTGCAAAGACTACAGACTGACTTCTTCTCACTGATAAATAAAGAGTGACTCCATAAAAACAAAGGAGAAAAGCCCTGAACTCGCCACATTTCTCTCCCCCAGTTATCACCCATGAGCAGAGCCAAATCAGTGCTCTGCACTGTGCTGGAGCTGGGAGGTAATTATGGAAATGAGTAAACAAGAATGAGCACCATTTCTTAAAATCCTGATTATTACATGACCTTTCATTAATGCACACTATCTCAGAACTAATTATATTGCTTCTAAAGTTAACCATGCCTTTATATAAATAATTAAAAAGAAATGTTTGTAGATGTATCTGAACGTAATGTGAAATAACTTCTCTTTGTGGTAAATCTGGAAAGAAAGAATTGTCCCCTGTGGAATGAAGCTGTAAATCAGAGCTCAGCCCCTCCAGGATGTGACTCCCTGCTAAGCCCAGCCCTGCCCTGAGCAGTGCCAGGTAATTCCTGCCTTACCTTGGGCTGGAAAGCTCCTTGCAGCGAGCCAAAGGGGCCGGTGGGAGGGATCATGGGAGGAATACCTGATACAGCTGGAGGATAGGAGTGAAACAGCTGCAACAGAAAGAGAGGAACATCAACACTGGGTCACCAGCAGCACAGGCAGCTGAGGAGGACACAGAGAGCATTCCTGCAGAATAGTAGGAAAATGTTACATGGAGAAAACTGAGAAGCATTGAAGTGATCTCATTGCAACAATGTTAGTTAAAGCAGTCGATGGGATGTTCACAGATGTCATGAGGTTTAGAGCTTAAAAGCAGTTCCAACATCAGACAGCCAGCAACCTGTACCTGCCTCGGGCCAGCACAGCATAAGGGAGACATTTGTTCCTCAATTATTAATTTTTAATTTTTAAATTGGAGAGACGTTTTAAATGGTTTCAGTCTGTGACTTTTTTCAAGAGAAAAGGAAGAATCCTGAGCAGAATGAGGCTCAGAAATCTCCTGTTTAAGTGGAAAAAACCCTTACGAGTTCTAGGATATTGTATCATTAAAACTCCATTAGTAGGTTGGGATTTTAATGGTATCTGTAGGAAATGAGGAAAATATGCACAATTCTTACTTCATTAGTCTGTCTGAGAGGATATCCTGCCACATCTAATATTAGCAGACAGACAATCTGATTTGTTAAAGATTAGTATTTAAACAAAATGTTAAGGCAGAACCTCCCAGAAATGGATGGGGGTTTTTTATAAAGAGAGAATGCTCAGCACAAAAATGTGCCCACCCCCACTGACCTCCCTGAGCCCAGGGCTCTGTTCTAAGGGAATTTGGGAACAAATGAGATGCTGCTCTGTGCTAATGCAGACAAGGGAAACAAGCAGGTAAATTAAACAAATAAATTGTTCCCTGTGAGGGTGGGCAGGCCCCGTGCCCAGAGCAGCTGTGGCTGCCCCTGGATCCCTGGCAGTGCCCAAGGCCAGGCTGGATGGGGCTGGGAGCAGCCTGGGATAGAGGAAGGTGTCCCTGCCATGGCAGGGGTGGAAGAGATGGTTTTTAACATCCCTTCCAGCCCAACCCACTCTGTGATTCCATGATAAACCATCACATCCCAATCTGCCTCTGCCTCTGTGCTCTGCTGGTGAACCTTTGGCTCTTGTTGTGACAAAAAACTCTCTCAGTTCCATGGAAATGCTGCTAGCACACACCAAACTGCTTCCTCATGGGAGTCAGGGATTCAAAACATCACACTCCAAACCCATTCTTGGTGGGAAACCTCTGGATCTCAGAGGGGATCTAGGAACGGATGGATCTAGGAGGGGATGGGTTTAGGAAGGGATGGATCTCAAAGCAGATGGATGTAGGAAAGGATGGATCTAGGAGGGGATGGATCTAGAAGGAGATGGCTCTTGGAGGGATGGATCTAAGAGAGGATCCAGCTCCACTGGAATTGCCACCCCAAAACCTAACAGGGCTCTCTGGCTGAGACCAATTCCCCTCAGACCACGGCTGAGCAAAGTCAAACCACTGTGTGCTACTTTTAAGATCAAAATAAATGAGTTAATGGCCAATTGAACAGAAGCAGGACTGGGCAAAGTCAAAGATTGGACATGAGGGGTGGGAAAACACTGAGCAAATCCCATCCCAGAGTCAAACAGCACCACAAAGTTGTGATGGATTTGGATATGCCAGGCATACACTTGTGCTTCTCTTCATAATTTTTCCTTCCACTAGCTTATCTTGCCATGCCATTTATCCATATTGTATTTACTGAAAGCTGAGAAAACATTTCAGAGGTATCAGAAGATTTTCTCAGTTTAAAAGGCTGGTATTGAGCCTCTGTTCCTGTTGCTGCTGTTGTTTTTAATTCTATTTAATTTGGACCTGCTCCATCCAATGGTGCAGAAAACATTTTGAGATTAGTTGATACTGAACTGTAGACATTTGAGAAACCATTAAGACACATTTGTCCTCATTTACAATAACTTTTAATGAGTAAAATGTGCTTGAAATTCTCCAGTGTCTTCTATCTTTAATTCTCTGTGTAATGGACTAATTCTAAGTGATGGCAAAAGATGTAATACTTCATATTCTATTGGCTATGACTAATAGTAAGGAATTCTTTCCTCAGTTCTATAACAAGTGGTAAGTTAATTAAATGTGACCTTTCCTCAAGGTCAGAATTATTAATAAAATATAAATAGTTTATCTCTATGATTAATTTGTATCACTTAAATTCCTCCAGCTTTCAGAATTCACATTTCACAGTCAAATGCTTCCTTCTTCCCAAGAATTCCTTCTCTTTTGAGCAGCAGTTTTCCCTTCTAGTTTTCCCTGGGGAAACATGCAGTGACCACCTTGGCCAGGTGGATGTGATGCTAAACTAGACCTGGCAGCAGCTGCAGGTGAAAGCAAAGCCTCACTGTGCTAAAAGAGAAGAAATAACACTGATTTAAAACTCACCATTAGCTTCGATGTGAGCTGCACTGCTTGTTCTAAAGTAGATGGATTTTAAGTCCCAAACAGACCCTGTTGCACAAAGTTCACCCACACTCAGCTTTAAGGGATCTGAGCTCCAGGTGTGGATGTACAGTGGGAGCTCTTGTCCCTAGAACAGCTCTGTGGAAGTGCCACATTCTGACAGTGTTTGTATTTCTCCTGCCCTGTGGGTGAGCCCTCAGCCCAGCTAAGGGACAGCTCCCATTCCCTGTGCCCTGACCTGTCCCAGGGGAGGGACCAGGGGACACCCAGCTGGGCTGGCTGGGGTCACAGACAGGCTGTTGCCCCAGTGCAGACACCATGGAATCCCCTGGGAGCAGCTGTCCCACAGTGGCCCCAGGGCAGCCCCTTCCCAAGGCCAAACCTCTCCCCAGGGAAGGCAGGAGAGCCCAGGTCCCTGCCTTGCCCCAGCACAGCTCCCTGGCTAAGGGAGCACAGCATGGAGCTCTCCTGACCTTACAGGGGTGAGGCCATAACCTTTGCAATCCAGGTAGCTCCCAGATTTCTGAGATTATTTGGCTGAATGTGAACAGCAGATACAGCTGGAGACTTCTGCAATGCATCCTATCCTACACTGCCAACTTCTGTGCTTGATTTGTCTAAAATCCATGTACTCTCTCCCTATTCTGTGTTCCTGCTGAGATCCACAGGCCCCACTGATGACAATCTCCTGAAGCCATGTGAAGCTCAGCAAATCAGAGTGCAATGAACACTGGTGCAGGTGAGCAGCAGTGCCCTTTGCCCAATGTGTGCCCAGTGTTCCTGGAGCTGTGAGCCTGCAAACACGGAGTCCCAGCTCCTCAAATCAGGTGCCAGACATGGACAGGACTGCTCAGGGGCAGGACAGGCTGTGAGCAGGGGCTGTGTTTAATCCAGACATTGCCTTAACCAGTTTTTTTTGCCCAGTTCCACTTCTAAGCAAAACCAACACATAAAGCCAAATGCTCTGCAGATTTCTGAGTGCTGATGCAGTACTCCTTCTCTCATCAAAATATTGCTCTTGGATTAAGAAACTCTTGCCAGACACCTGCCTCTGCCAATAGGATGAAGAAAATACAACCCAGGGTTCAGCAGCAAACCAATCAGTGGATTCAACCCTTAGCAGCAGAAGGGTTTACATATAACTGGAATTTGAAAAATCAGTTCATCTCAATAAGTAACATTTTTGGTAGCTTAGGTAAACACTTCTAGTGCATAGCTGGATTCATGTTGCTGTCATCACACAGAGCTTTCAAAACATAACAAGCCCAGTGGATCAGATGAGCCTTTGAAATCTGAATAAGATGACAGGTTTTCAGATTTTATCAAACAAAATATGATAGATTGGGAAAACTATTAGATTATCTATCCCTGAAGGATTTGTCTGATAGTTTGTCAGCTCATTTTAAGTTCCTTAGCAAAAATATCAGCCCAAGGGTTTGTGGCACAACTGAAACACCGTGATGGAATCACTGCTTTCTCCTGAACCATGGAACAGTCAGCCCTTCTGTCTCATCTTTTCACATCAAACCTGGATCCAAATGGTGTGTGAGCAAGAGATCTTTTGATTGGAAAAGCTGATACTGCATCTTTATCAGAAACAAGCACCACGAATGCAAGCCTTCAAAAGCCAAAGCAACCAAGGACGGTAATGGTAAATCCTGGAGTGATGATTAGGGAGAGATTTGACACTGTGCCATTGATTGAGTGGTGATCCCAACCCACCACAGAAAAGCAGTGAAGTCAGTTGGAAACAGCAATAAAACTCACACTGTGACGGTAGAAGGGGTCAACTTTTGTAGGATATTTGTCAAACTGCAAAGGGATCAAAGCACAAACTAGTTACTTTATATTTCCTTGCTTTACTTCTGTTGGCAAAATAGAAGACAACTTCTCTATTATTTGGCAACCAACAGAGAGGAAAAAATACGCAGAAAATTAGTTTCCAATGAAACTGTTTGGGATTTTTGCTGTCTTCAAATCAGGATCTTTTGGGACAGGACAAAGGAGGAGGCCCCAGAGCAAACACTCCAAGCAGGACTGGCCAGAGCCTCATCCCTTGGTCCTGTGCTGCCACCTGAACCTCACACTGTGACAGAGGGACAGCCCTGCCTCTCCTGCCCAGACACCCCTGGGCAGCACAGGAGCCCTTCCCCACAACCTGGCAAATTCTCCACAATACTTTTGTAACAAAGAATAGAGTTGTGCTCTACTTATCCTCACATTTCTGCCTGGGGTACGCACCATGGGCGGTGCTGGCGTCGGCATGATGGCAGTGGGAGGGATGGCGTGGGGGAAGGGCGTGAAGGTGTGCTGGTGGGTGTGTTGGTGTGTGTGCTGGTGCTGGTGCTGGTGCTGGTGCTGCTGCTGCTGCTGGTGCTGGTGCTGGTGCTGCTGCTGGTGCTCAGGTGCTCCCCTGCCCTGCAGCGGATA